GCTCTATAAGCTTTAATTTGATATAGGGGTTTAGGTATCTACAGCTTAAACCAGAAGTGCTACATCGCTCGGACGTGAGACACCCCTGAAGGTATATGGTAACCTTAAACTTAATGAATACATAATTTATGTATGTTTTTGAGATGTAAGCAGCCTACATCATAGTCATGATCATGAACTTCCCTTTTTGGCTACTGACATTTCAATTTCCAGTAACTTTTGCCATGGTTTGCATCCTAAAAACTTTCTTCAGCTCACTTTGCACTTAAGGCTCATGAAAGACCATTACATGCAGAAGTATTTGCTCATCATGTGATCCAGACAACTTGAGCATTTGCTACCTGTGAATGCTTCTAAGTATCATTTCTATAAAATGGAGGGCTGATTTTTTTTGAACATTGAAATTGATGTAGGAAGGTGATAGATTATTTTTCAGAATTTGATCTTTATGCACGATTTTATTTAAAAATTTTCAGCTTATTGTTCTTCACTTCTGTTCCACGAGGAGACAGGCATCGTGAGTTTCTTGAGAAAAGCAATTGCCCTGGATGAGGTAAGTTCTCCAGATTGTGAATGATTTTGCTTATAAATTGACACATCTGAGAGAAAATGTGATATCAATGCTTCTTTGTTTCTGTTGTAAGTATCATTACATTTATTTTGATTTTATTGCTGCCTTGTGGTGGATGAGCTCTTCCTGTCTAGACCATGGTTTTTTATTTCCTTTTACTCAAGGATTTACGAGAACTCAGTTACAAACTGAATACTGTGTGCACAGTAAAGCAACAAAGCATGTGTAATTATAAAAATTGAGATTAATATGGGTAATCAAATGGTGATGAGTGAAATTAGGAAATAATTAGACGTACGTTTTATCAAGCTCGCAATAAGTTTTTTCCTGCCTCAAAGTTGGCCAATTTGAGTAAAGAAGGTGTGACATTCCACACACAGTCAAAATCTGCAAATTAGGACTGTTGATGTCATAAGGTGTGTAAAACCTTTTAGCCATCACAGCAGCTGAGAGCAACAAGCAAAAGAGTGAGAATGTTTGTGTTACCGGAGGGCCTGGTTTGGTGAGCTGTAAAAACACCACTTACGTGAAAGGTATTGTCATGCATATGCTTCTGAATGATGAAGTCAGAGGGGCACTTAGACTATATTAGGGATTTGTTCGGAGACACTGGCCCATCTTCAAAGTGATGAATGCGTCCGTGAAAGTTATGTTCCGTCCGTTTTGGACAAAGTTGCTATCAATGGCTTTTAAACATTAGAGATATGCTGCAAAGGCGATGTCTAAATAAAGATTTGGTTGTCGCACTATCAAGTCTTCACAGGAACAGGAACAAAGTGAAAGGGAGAGAAGATTCCAATTGACATAATATTGGCCTTGCATTATTGTGATCTGTGTGATTTTGCAGGCACGCATTATTTCTTGTAGTCTTATAATATAACCTTAATGTTATAAGGATAATTTTATGTTACTGCAATACTCCTGTAGCTACTAGAATTTTCTTTGTTTTTATTTCATGTTTTGGCATTACCTCTTGGGATTACATTATCTACTCATTAGTACTTACCTATCATCATTATGTGTAGTTTGTTATTCAGTTTTCGTCAGTGCTTTTTAGCGGCTGTTAGTTAAATTTCTCCAGTTTCTACCGCGTGTTGGCTAGCATTTCACTTGTTGTGAACTTCTGAATTATTATTCTGAAGAGTTTTATCAAAAGCCATTTGAGCCAAGTTTAGTTAGCGTGAGGTGTGTTGCGTTACGGTTTTGCAATACAAAAGTTAACAGAGTCATGTTGCAGAACCGGATATTCGCCTTTTGCAAACGTATAGGTTCTTTGGATACCTAGGACATTGTATTGGTGAACAGTAAAAAAGACGTCTTGAAGCAATCCGTGGCAAACACAGAATTGTTTTATTTTTTGGGTCTGAGTTTTCGAGACACCCAATGAGCAGGCAAGTATTGATCATGAGCAGGCGAGTGTTGATCATGAGCGAGTGAGCATGTGAACAAGAGTATCTTCTATCAGCTTTGATGCAAACTGCTACAACACAGCAAGAATTACTGCCAATGGATTTAATAAAAGAATATTATCATATATATTCTCCCCTCCAAGCAAAAAAAGTGACAATGTTTGAGGTAACAAGAACATGCATTTGGTTGAAGCTTGATATTTGTAGTGTATGTGTGAGATTTGCAAACAACCGTAACTAAAGTGGTTAAATCAGATTAAATTTTTGAAAGCCAAAGGCGCTCTCTCCATTTTCTTTTATTGAAGCATGACAGTTTTATAGTTAACCATTTACGGCCTGTATCCTCGTTTTCAAATCAAGATTCTATGGATGCAAAGTGTATATCATCTTCGTTGTCCTCATCTTCCTCCATCAAGTCTCGTTCTTCCACATCAGCAATGCAATAGGCTCGACTTGACAGGGCTGAATGACTGAATTTAAAGAGCCCTCGTCTTCTCCTGTGGACTGCAGCCACTCATCACCAGACAAGTATAATGTATTATTGGAAGATTCATCATCAGAGGGCATTTTCCACTGAATTAAAACTGGTTCTAGAAAAACGACAATTACCTTTTTGGCAACTTTGGAGTGATAAAAATTGTTTTACGTGCTGAACCAGAGCTTAAATTGGGAAATTATGAATTAGTGCAACATAGACTTCAATTTTCTGGAATAAAAAAAGGAGGCCAAAATTTTATTTTTTAGGTACTAACTGCATTCACATGTAGGTATGGGATATAATTATATGTAGTTATGGGAACCATAGTAAGTTTTAGACACCTTATTTTTGTCAAATTGTGGAAAAAGTTTGAAAGTTTAACCAAATATAGAAGTTTTGACCCTGCTAAAATGACTAAATCATAGATAGATACATACTGTACATAACTACATTAATTTATGACTACCAAATATGGGCCCATCATCTTGTTCTACAGAGATTTTTACTCTAAGGAGAGGTTGATAGTCAAAACTAAATATACGTAATGAGACAGAAAATAGAGATAGATGGTATGTCAAGTTTAAGGAATCTTTGTGGACTTGTCACCCTGTGGGTTGCATTTACCAATAAATTATTGAAGGAAAATGATGATTGTTTGCCTCTAACTGTCCTTTTAACGCACCTTTTAATGCATTTTCCCCCAAATTCAGGGCTAAAACTAGGCAATTACTAGGTTGCCAGTGGCAACTTAAAACCTACCAGGGCGAGTAATAATAATTATTGAGGTTTAATAGCCCAATATACGATTACAGTAGAAAACACTTGTGCATTGTATTGCAAAGTATGAAGTGAAAATAAAAAATATGTATAAAGTTTAGTACTTCAAGTTAACCAATCTAATTCCACCACTGTCTGTGAATGTTAAGTTCGTAGACCTGTGGAAGATTCTAAAGGGATTTAATCCATAGATACTTCCAAGCCGTCATAATGTGGACTGTTTTCCTTGCACGTGTTATTGCTTCCATGATGTGTTTGGAACATTACACAACAAAATGTGGAGATTTCTCTGGCTGCGAGCCTCTGACTAAAAAACTGAGGAATAAGGAAAACATTCAGGAATCAAACAGAAATTACAACAACAACAAAAGATCATGAACATTTCAATCCAGTTGGATGAAAGGGAGGCCATTGTTGGTTTTCCAAGAAGACTCTATGTTTTGTCCCATTTGTTAATTTTCAAAATTCAGATATATAAATATTAATGAGTAATCAATTTTTGGGAGCTGGGTATTGTTCAACTTTTTGAGTTCTTTCTCTTATTATTAATAAGTTAAATCCCTGTTGAAATCCTCGAGACGTATATATATGTAAATACAACTATGTGTACAAGAAATGCAGGGCCACCTTATTTGATCCTGGGCAACTAAGTTTTAGCCCTGCAAATTTGTTACCAAACTAAGAAATTTCCAAACTCACTCACTCACTTGTTTACTTGGAATCTAATGTCACTGGTCTATATCTGCATCACAGAGAGAAGACTAAGGCAAATGGTGAAATAAAATACCACAAATTTTAAAAAATTATTTTAAAATCAATTTTTTTTGCAGAATCATTCTGCAAAAGGAACTCAATTAGGGACCAATGAGACATAATTATTTCCCCTCATATTGGTCCTATGTTGCAAAAAAAAAGTGAAAAGGTTTTTTAAAGAATTTGTCAAATTTTAATTGATCTTTATATTTCAATTAAGTTTTTAGATGCCAAGGTTGAGCTGCTTAAATTTCTTAAATCCTATGTCATGGTGCTTGGGAAGAAAGTAAATCCTTATGTTGTGGATATAAAGGTAACGTATATACAAGTAAGGAAGTCTGTGAACAGTGGTATAGTAGTCAAAATGAAACAATGTCACTGTTATTATTTCCTATTATTTCTGATGCTGATATTTTTAACCAGGCTATAAGAAATTTGTTGTCAAGGGTCAGGGTTGGAAATAATGGACAGTCATCGGACAGTGGAGTCCGAGTTACAAGTCAGCAGCAGTGTTGTCCTGAAGGAATTACGCTTTCTCTTTTGGGAGGGGGACAGGTGCAAATTTTGTGTATTTAGGGAAAACTACATGTACATGGTATATTTTACTGGTCAGAAACAACTTATGACAGAGCTAAAATTTTGACCGGCAATGATGCTGCTGATATTTGCAGCCTTGATGTGATTTCCAGAATATTCTTCAAGAGTTATTGGTATTAAAGTGGTAATAAATTCAGCCAAAGCTTAACTGTATGTTTAGCTAATGACTCTTGCTTTGAACTTGCACTGTACGTTGAAATAATTATGATTTAAAGGAATAATACCTCGGCTTCAGTGTATGGATCATTCAAGTATGGTAGAGTACTGTGAAAGAGGAATGAAGGCGAAATTTGACCAATTTTGTTGCTTTTCAGCACTTTTTGACGAAATTAATTGACTTTTCAAATGAAATGATATTTGGTCAAAAAATTTGTGAAATATTGTGACTACTATTGTTCTTTCTCAGAGCAAATTTTCAGACTGCACAAGGAAAAGTTGTTCTGCCGGCTGTCATGAATTTTTGAACAAAGCGTCAAAGGATATACATGTAAAGCAAATTTTCATTTTAGCTTTGGTAAAGTTCAAGCGATATTTGGTTGATTGTTTTTCTTCCTGGAATTCTCTCGGCATTCTGACAAGTCCCACTGCTATTCAGTAGACATGGGAACAGTGTTTATATATGGTTCGATTTTGAAGATTGCACTGTTACACAATGTAGTTTGTTCCGAAGCAATAGTGCTGAAGGTTTCAACTTATACACATTTATTGGAACACAGATGCCTTAAGAATTTATGAATCAATTGTCCGACTTTCAGCTGAAGTGTTCAGATCCTTTGGATAAATGTGGTAGCGATGCAAAATAAGTATAGGCAAGCGCTGCCAAAATTTGCAAATGAAAGGCAAGGACACCATAGTAGATTAGCTTTTTGTTTAAGGCCAATTTTAATTACATTCAAGTTTTGTTTAGAGTAAGTCGATGTGTGTAATGTTATAGGCACAATGTTTGTTTATCCAGGTTTATATGTACGGAAGTGTCCATTAGTAGAGGGTCTAAGTGAATGAGCATGTAATGCTGTCCTTCTCTTTAGTAGAGAGGTACTGGTATTAGTCTCTTATTGTGGTTTTTTTTTCCAGGACATTTGTGTAAAAATCTTCTCCCAAGATCGCAGCAACAAGGCAAAAGTGGAAACTTTCCCTCTCCTTGCCCAGGTATATGCCAAGTCGTCACATTATTATGCCCTGCTATACCACTTAGAGATAAGTACACTTGCACATGCATTTTAAAGACAACCTTAACCTGAAGAAAATTTGTCTACACATCATCTTTAACATGTTGAGTACATGCTTTTTTAATCATGTGACCAAATTTTTCAAAAGAGGAGTCCCTTGGTGATAAATTTGGGAAATCTATCCAAAGCAAGCTCAAAAATGCCAGGAATTCCACAAAATTTTGATTTTTAGGGTTTTTGTGAAATCTTGCATTTTCTTTGTTATTCCTATGCAGTATTTCTAGTGTGATAAGTAGAGCTCAAACAAAGGCACAGTAGGCCGTATGTATGACCCAGTCACATTTTACAAAATCAGCCATTCTGGGACACATGTTACTCAATAGGACATTTCCCTTTGTTATTCTTACCCAGTATTTCTAGTGTGATAAGTGGAGTTCAAATAAAAGCACAATAGGCCCTTTGCATGACCCAGTCAAATGGTACAAAATGAGCCATTCTGGGACACAAGTACAATAGGCAATAAAAATCGTAGGGATGACCAAAACAATATGGAAACTCGTCCAGCGGATGACTTTAGTTTGACTTATGAATTTTCGTATGAGTTCCATGCATTCTGACCACTTGTTATCCATTTGGAACTTGTAGAAAAGAGAGAAAGATTTGCAGCTTTCTTTCGTGATAAAATCGTCCTTGTGGTCTCCATCTTGAATGACATGATGAATGAAATCATTGCAGGCTCAATTTTCATTTTGTCAACCGCTGATGCTCAGTACTGCATCTGCATCCGAAATCAGGATATGGCATTTAGTAATGTTAACAATTCAGAAAAACAAGCCAAATACGAGCAGGAAGAGCGAAAGAGTTCCTGTCAGTCTTCATGGCAGTTGAAGAGGTTGTACCTGGTTTTTCTGTGTCTGCCAACAGCTACAACTATGGACATGCTGTACTGGGAACGTGCTGTTCTGTTGCAACCCCTAGGATTTCATGGTAATGATTGTTTCTGGTACTGTATCATTGCTGTGATTCAGAAATAACAGAACCGAAAAACCATTTGCCACGGACATCTTCAGCCTTGCTGATCAAAATTTATTTGACAAAAGCTTTTTTCTTTTTTTAGTCTCAACAACAAGAGTAACTCCTTTGATAAGCACTCTCATCATATGTGAAACTAAAACATTGTTTTGCCATATTGTATCCACCCCAAAGTGCATTGCATGGTATGTCAATGGACAAGTAAAATTTTGTCAGGACATACTTGCCCAGCTGAGACTTGGTGAAAAACCAATAAGGATCCCTGCAATAGGTCTTCCAAAATAAAGGCAGGTTAAGGTGGACTGGAACAAGTTGTTTTGTTTAGGAAGTCCCACGGTGCAACTTGCACCCCAGCATGACTGATTCTGTACCATGTGACCAGGTCATGCAAAGGGCCTATTAGTAAAACCAAATGTCAACACTCAAACTATTAGACTTGAAATTCATCTATTATCATTTGTCATATAACATACCGTAAATTCAGGCAGATAAGCAGCACCTTTTTACTCAAAATTTTCCTAAAAAATCGGGGACACGGCTTATATGTGAGAACATCTGGATGATGTGCCAATCATTTGCATAAATCAACACTTTTCTTCAAAAAATAATAAGTTTGTATGAAAAACAAACAGAAGCGTATCACCTCGAACTAGGTCATATGCTTCTGAAGCAAACTAATCAGACTTCATAAAACTAATAATATCAGAGTACGCATCTATCATTGCTTTTTCAAGTTTGGTGGCTCCCAAAAGAGCCGTTCTTGTTCATAAGCATAAGCCTACATTTCTTGCTCTTAAACAATGTTAAACCTTCATTAAAAAATATTTTAGCCAGTTTAGGGTTGCCACTTTAGACCAACTAAAGGCCCCGCAGCAGAGAGTCTCCATGCCGGTTCAAAGCTGTTCTTTTCACTGTTTCAATGAGCTGTGATCAAAAACTACTTTTGTCCCGTACTCCATCTCTTGGTGAAGTACCTGGCTACTAAGCTACAAACAAATGAACAAAAGCACTGTAAGTTGTAGGTAAAACAGGAATGACAGGAATGAAAAAATACTGGTTGAAAAATACCAGAGAAAGATTAAACATATGTCAAAGTCGGTAGACATCATGTCTATACTATTGGAGAACTAAAATTATTGGTAAGGGTTTCGGTTTGAAGTATTCTATGTTTTCAATGTTAGTGAGTTTTTGATAAATCAAGAAATGTACATGAAAAGAATCTTTCTCAAGACTCCACATGTAAATAAGTTTGATTTCTTTCCAAAAACTTTCCGAAATTTGAGTTACCAAACTTGGGGTCTGGCTTATCTTCGAGTGGGACTTACAAATGACATAGTTCTTAAGGAAAATGAAGTTCCCATCACAAATAAGAAACAGATTGCAGAGTTGATGAACAATCACTTCGTCAAGGTGACGGAAAATGCTGATGATGTAAAGGAAAGTGATTTTGGAGAAGACTTCGTGAATCATCCGNCTTCCATTAGAACAGTCAACAGTACTTCATTGGTAACACTTGCTGTTTCAAAAGCGCCTTTAGGATTTGGTGCACAGATGTTATACACGTGTTAACTCCCTCTGCACATCGATGTTATTTCAGGAGGTTGGAAATGTGCATGTACAAGAGATAAGTTTTTATTTTATAATAACATTAAGAAGGGGAATGGTACAGGGGGAGAGGGAAGCTTGCATTTGTTAACCTCGAAAAGGTTGGTTCTGTTTGGTACATGTACATGTATGTACCTTTCAGATTTAATTGATTTTGAGGGTATGTCAGATGCTCTTGTAAACTGATTTTAATGAACACATCATTTTGCCTTTACTTACACAAGATACTTTGGAGCTTGTATGCAGCCATCTAAACACTCATCTACAGGTTACTACCTTATGTTATTTGTTGCTACATGTAGCTCTTGTAGTAATGCAACTAGCGAGCAGTATCCATGCCATATTTGTTTCAGGTGGGAACCATTTCTTCTGATTTGTTAAACCTCGAGATCTGTGGTTGCTCTAAGGACAATGTGCATCCATTGATTATGGGTTCCCTGTAAGTTAAAGATACCTGACCATGTTGAAGTCATACTGTACAGAATATAATTTATTTGCCAATAAATTAAAGATACCGGGTGCCTGTCCAGACCCTGAAAATAAAGCAAATGCAGAAGATAAGTTGCCCAGTTGATTTATTAAAGATACCCGACCATGTTGAACATGTACTGTGCAGAAGATAAGTTGTCTCTAAATTAAAGACTCCTTACCGTGTTGAACATTTACCATGCAGAATTTAATTTGTTTATAAATTTAGGACCATAATATATAAAAATGGGTTTGACACTGGTCTAAAAAATGTTGAAACAAATGTTCTGTTAAAAACAGTAAAAAGACGTTTTGATCGAAGAACTTTGGTCTTAATCTGTTGTGAATGGAAAGTGTAACAATGGATTATATGAAAATGGTCCAAAATTGTGCAAATTAGCCAGGTGTGTGATCATGAGCAGATTGCAAATTAATGAAGCGAAGTGTAAATGTCTGGAATGTCCACATGGTCATGTATTCTCTACGTTCTGGTCTCTTTGGGAAAACCATGCTTCCAGAAAAAGTCTTTTGTGGTGATTGTTACATGTAGGTCTGTCAATGATTTTTTTAAAACATTATCGGAATCCATGTTGTGATTATGTTGATAAACATGTTGGGAAACCTTTGAATTAGCGTCAAAAATACACACTGCTCTTTTGTGTTCTGAAATTCTAGTTTTAGCAGCTCTTTTGGTTTGGCCATAATACATGAGGTCACAGTTTGACCAGTTTATCTTGTAAATAATGTTCCTGAACATGTATGGTGCAGAATTTAATTGGTTTGTGAATTAAAGTCTCCTACTGTGGAGAGTATAAAGGCATAAGTTCTCTATAAACTAGATGCTACAAGAGTGTTAAATTGGGCTTCGTGTCACAATATCAAATCATATTGTACAGGTATTGAACACAAGAAAAACAAGTGAAAGAATCAGGGTGTTTAACACAAAAGTTAAGCTTGCATGAAATATTTACTCTTCAATATTCTTTTTATCCAACTACACATTGTTTACAAAGATTCTTGATCAGTGTTTGTCTTAGCATCATACATGTAGTTTGTTGTTAACTCAGTAGCTCATAGGTTTGCCAGTGTTTCCGTAGTTTGATCTCATACATGTTCATGTATGTGCCCCATTTGTTATATCTTGAGACCTAGCACAAACTTTGCTAATTTGGCTATATTCGTGGACCTATCCATTTTGAAAACGCTTAGCATCTTTGTAAGTGAGATGAGGGTATAAGGCATGATTCTTTCTAAAGCCTTTTTCACAAAACACAGCATTCTGTAAATTATGTTGTTCACAAAGAGTGACCACCTGATTAGCAAGCTGTCGTCGCAATTCTCATCTCCAGTTTCCACGTTCTACACTAGGCCCACCTGGGACTATGACCCCCTATTTGGCAACCAAGACAAAACGACTTGCATTTTTAGACTTTGGCTTTCCCTTGGAAGCCTGAGTTAAGGACTCTTTTCCGTTTTGAAGATGTACTGTGCAAAATACAAGTTGTCTATAAATTAAGGACACCTGACCATGTTGAATGTGTACTGTGCGGAATATAAGTTGTCCATTTATTAACGATACCTGACCATGTTGAACATGTGTTGTGCAGAATATAAGTTGCTAATACATTAAGAACAACCAATCATGTTGAATGTGTATTGTGCAGAATATAAGTTGTCTATAAATTTAAGATACCTGACCATTTTGTCTGTGTACTCTCATTTTGAGTTCAAAAATATATTGTTTCCTTTGAAGTAGTGTCTACTTTTGTCAAAAATTGTTGAAGCTCATCAAAATTTGTTTCCGCGGCTTTTGGGCACTATATTTGAGTGTCCATGCATTAGCATGAAAACTGATTTTCTTTCTCTCGTTGAAATGAAGTGGTTTTCAGTAGAAGCAAACTACATCAAGTATAATTTATTATCCATATAATAGCTATGAACAATAATGAAGGAAAAAAATTGGTAAAAAAGGAAAGGAATTAAATGGTTGTCACTGGCTAAAAANTCATGAACAAATTTATTTTGTAAACATAGATTTAGTTTGAAACATACAACCAACCTTTGTTTTTAAAAAGTAGTTCAGACATTTGACTCCTGTTATGATAAAATAAATACATGCCTTCCTCGTAAATCAGTTCCTGAAATTATAATTCTGTGACAAAAACTACCAGTTTGGTTTATCCAAAGACTGTCTGAACAACATGCACTTCAGAGATGCAAATCGTATTCTGATGATTTACTACGTTCTAGTACTTGGGATGCAAAAGAAAAGAGAGCAGTAAGGGCAGTAATTACATGTACTAATACACTAAAACATATTCTCATGGATATCATGAATGGTTCATGTATTGTCAACTTCAGCAGTCACAACTTGTGCCGATAGTTATTAAATAAAGGGATACTGTGTATATTGAGTGCAAGGGTTCTGTGCGACCCACGTAGTGTGTGATGTATAGCTTTAGATGCAAGTGGTTGTTTTATACTAACTGTTCATTTTTTAAAACCCTTTTTCGTTTTGTAGTAAAACACTGGTTGTACTCCTTGTTGGGCACCTTTGCCGAAGTATTTCCAGAATTTATGCTCAGTCACTCAGACCGGCTTGTTTCTATTTATATCAGTGTTCTTAAGTCACAGGTACATGTACTGTTGAAACTGTGTCAAACATAATTATGCAGTGTTAGTGCCTTTTAGTACAGAATGCACTATTGGGGTGGTTCAACAGGCTGTGGTCTACTAACTTGTCTGCCACTATGGTATAACCTTTAGTAATTGAATAATTAATTAATATTAATTGATTATTTTTGCGGACAACGTGGTGTGCAGGAGACAATAACTGTGTGCTCTATATTTACATAAAACATGGAATATCTAGTGGACATTTCTTCTTGTTGGATGTCGCTTTTGTTTAGGACAGCCCTGTGTGCTTTCTCTCAGTCTGTAATCTTTCTAGAATAAAGTGCTCTGCTTTTAATGCATTGGCAGAAGATTATTCCACGTTACCGTCCACTATGTAGAAAGTCTACTACGAGTAAAAATAGAATTACATAGGAAGGATGAATTTTACCTTGTGGTAGAATGGGATGAACTTGTTTTAATCTGTTGGTATTGGCAGATGACAAGCAAGGCCAAGAAACCAGATATGCCTATTATTGCTGGATGCTTGAGAGGTTTGACTTCCTACCTGACAAACTTCACACAATCTGTTGAAGAAGGTTGGCTTAACCAATAACTTTAAAATTTACTTTGCAGTATTCAGCAATGTTGAAGTAAAAAAGTTTTGTGCAGTGGAGTTGTTGCTTGAGCTCACAATCCTCAGCTATCAGGTCTGAGAGAGAGGCAATTAGAGGAAGGGCTGGAGATATTTTGTTGGATTTTTGTTTGAAGAATATTTCCTATTGTAAGAAAGTATTTATGTACTTGTACTTTCCAATAAGACATGAAGTGAATTGTTTTTGTAAAAAGACAATATACAAAAAACTAGTTGATGAGAATTAAACGAGATGTGACTTTAAGAGTTACTCAGAGGGGTCTTTAAATTATTTTACAGATGCAATACACATCTCACATTAAGTACAGTGGAACCCTACCTTGGGGCCACCCCATTGATACAGCCACCAGTTGTTATTATGGCCACTTTATTCTGGCCTGAACAAATGAACAGTCAGTCATTTTCTTGTATAGAAAATCCCATTAAATACGGCTACCCTGTTAATATGGCCAGATTTCTGTGGCCTGTTGGGGACCAGATTAATGGGGTTCCACTGTAAACCCCCAAGATATTGATTCTGATGTTTTTAGCCATATATTGGTGTCTAATTAAAGTCTCTTTTGTGTCTTTTGGAAGGCTCTAGGTATGCCAAAGACATCTACAGCTACACAATAATGGCTATCAATCCACAAGTTAGTATATGTTGTTCGCTGCACTAACTTGCAATCAGTTGATAAAGCTAACAATTTTTTTACTGAGCTCAGTGATTGTTTAATTTTTTTTCCTGGAAATCAAGTCATGTCTAAATCAATCTTGTATCTTGAGGTTTGTGCCAAAGTTGAGGAATCAAAGTGGCTAGGAGCCTCTCAACTTGGAAAATGGATCATCTGTAAACAGTGGCAAATTTGATGCCCATGAACTGAGTTTTTAATCCGTGGTTTATATGTCATTTATAAATTGGGGGTGAAAAATGAAGTTAAAGGCCACTGGCATTGTGAAGAAATAGTGCAAAATGCAATGGTAAGAGAATTCATCAGGAGATGTGACACCGTTGGAAACATTCATGAAGTTATCGTTGATCCTTGTGGGAGACGATACCACAAAGAAAGTACTGCTTCTTATCTGATCACCAAATTTATCAAGTAATAAAATTCCTGTATTGCGGGTTCTCATGTTCTTTCTTTTTTTTTTCATTCTTTGTTTTCTACTTGCCAATATCAGTGATTTTCCTCCCGTTGCATTTACTTTCTGGCAGCTTCTTTGTCTGCGGCTTAGCCCGTCTTTTGCTCCATGACGTTAAGGTGGGGGTCGACCTGAACTTCCGTAAAAAATTCACATTTTTTAGTTTTTACCAGAATTTGAATATTTGATTCAGAAGTTTTATTTTGAGAATTTCTGTTACTGTAAGTTCAAGGTTTCTTTCTCAAAATGAGTTATTTTTGTCTTTGAGAAAAGATATTTTGAGAAGGATTTATCCAATTCAGCTGAAATTTTCAGGATTTGTTGTTCTAAGTAACTTTTTGTTTTAGCCCATTGACTCCCGTGCCACCCATAATCAGCCGTGACGAGCCTTGGCCTTTGTTCCACTTCTGACGTCATCACCTTTGACCAAAATTGGCATCATCTATGTTCAACTTCTGCAGGAGGAAAAGATCTTTCCAATGATACCCAGATCAGAGTGATTGGCTCAATGAAGCCTTAAATATGCACGAAAATGCTCAAAAAGTTGAGTGAAAAACTCAGAGTGAAATTTCATGTGACTACATGTGGCTACTCCATGGAAAAAATTGCCTATCTCGATGATGCTTTCTAAGAATTTTTTGAACTGGAAGCAAACCCAGTAGAAGGTCAATCACTGCAGCAAAAAGAAAAGAAAAGGAGAAAAAGGAAAGGGAAAAAAAAAATAAAAAAATCGAAAAGCCTAAAGATATAGGTCACATTATGCTAGTGGAAAGAAAGGCATGCTGTCATGTTACAAATGCCTTTTTGAGTAGATTGGAGCTAATTTGACCCGTATCCAGCCTGAAAATCTCCAAAATGTCCAAATGTGTTTTTGGCAAAAAACACTGGGAGTCAATGGGTTAAGCATAAAACCTTTCCATCCAGTGCATTTTGACAAAGTTACATGTATGCATTGAAATATATGCTGGATTTTCTGTATCAGATTTGACTGGTCACCATTTCATGTGCTTTTCACTTTTAAAAAATCTAATATATGTTTAAAACATTAAACTATTTTTCTTCTTTTAAAAAATGTAAAAATTATTCATTTTGATCAGTTCTTTAGGAGTTATCTTTTCTTCAAGCTCTGGCATTCCCCAGCAGGTGGCAGATTTACAATACAGTTCTAGGGTGCAAAAATATTTTTTTTCATAATACTTTGTCATGGTTTGGAATTTAATCGTAGCCATGAAAAAAGTTTGAAAAAATGGTGTGTTTTCATGTGTACCCTGCCCTAGGGAGAGTTTGGCTGCCTCATTGATACGGTCGTGTATGTATATATCTTTGATCAGATCTAAAACTGATCTTCAGTTGGGCGTTTACAATTGTAGGTTCTGCGGTCTCAATTCCAGGTGCAGGCTTCAAATTTTTTTGTTTCGTTCTTATCTTTTGAGAGAAACTAGGTCCGGTGTGGCACCACTATGCTACAAGGACAGGACCGCAGCTCGTCCAATCAACAAAGCTAAGCCCTATTCGGCGGGGTTCCTTTATTGCTGGGTGACCAAATATGAATACCCCTTGCTGTAATGATTTCTTCAATTCTTTTTTTCCTCTTTTCTCCTTCTGACTTTCCAAGGCGATATCAGTGAATGCAGAACTTGCATCCATGTGCACTGTCTTTTCTGCTATTCATTAACTATTTCTTCGTATCAGCTCATTAATATTGTGATTTTCAATATCTTCTTTTTCGGCTGTTCAGTACAGTCAAACTTACATTACATGAATATTTAACGCGACAACAGTGGGAAATGTGCTATTTATATAATTAACTTCTATACATAGAAACGCTAGTGTGAAAATCTATCCACTGTAGATTATTTCTGTGGTAAGATATTGAGTACTTGTGTCAAATGCGAAGAACAAATGAGAAACATTGCTTAATATGAAAATTAAAACTGATCACTCCATGGGAAAATTGTTGCACCTTCAGATCGAATATGACTTGAACTTCGCTACAACTGCGGAAGTCTTATACACTGGTTAGTGGATTCAATCACAAAAAGTCTAGCAGGAATCGAAGGAAGGAGTGAATCTCGCACCTATTTTTAACTTGGATTTTTCAAGTAAAAAATAAAATTTTTGCAAAACAAACATAAAGTTGTCAAAGCCAACCATGTTTTCATGTAGATCAATGGATTGGAATAAAGATTTGGTACATGTTGCTATAGTAATACCTTAATAAATATAACAACTGACTTAAAATATTTATTTGCTTTCAGGACAGTCTGAGTCGTTATGATGTACCAAAGGGTAGGTGTAAGGCAATTATTTATAAATAAGCCTTGGGTCAAAGATCTTTTTTNCTCGGAAAACTGTTCGTTTCCGTCGGAAGAGAGAATGTCCGCGGACAAAGATCCTAGCATATTTCCGCGCCAAATGGAGGCTATTGTTTATGTATATTACAATGTGTACGGCACTATAGTGCCCTCTGGCAGCATACATGAGCTTTTAACAGTAAATTTATAGTGTTAAATTAGATTTCCACATCATTGATCTGTTTCGCATTTAACATCATGCATCAGTCGCCTGAAGGCAACCTGATTGGTTATGTCGAGATAGATTTTTTGGGCTCCCAGGTCAGTGGTTGTCATAACTATGTAACCTCTTGCCACGAAAGTAGTCTCTTTGTAGCATTAATGGCACAAATGCTGTTAAGTAGGATTAAAATAACTTTCTTAATTTTTATAATTCTTATTACAACACTGTTCTAGATCGATGTTTTACATAAAAACAAAACAAAACAAGCAGAGCGATGGAAATAATTTGTAATTTTCTTAAACCTTATTAAATTCCACACATGGAAGGTTATTTTCATATAGATCACGCGAGGAAGACTTGCGTTACAGCGCATCTAAATTTGTGGACTGACTCACAGAAGTACAGAAAATTACGCGATTTCTGAGGAAAAATAGTTGTAGTATACCTCGAAATTTAGTGTTAGACCAGTGATGTTGTGCGAAGGACATCGTTATCATTACATGTTTATGGATTTTCATCATGAATTCGACGAGATGGCATGAGGAAGGAGCGATAATCCATCTAAACAGTACTATAATCCTGTCATACATCAGGAGTTTAGAGAATCAAGATTCAAGTTGTACTACTAACACCGAAGGGCCACAAGGCAAACCAAACAAAGTTCTTTCAAACTGTCATGCAAAACAATTCGCGAGAAAATGGCAAGCTCCTCACGGTAGATGAGTCCAGAAACAGGTCCAGACACTTTCCTACAAGGACAAATAGCAGTGTCGACAACGCTTTAAGACGGCCGTCGATAAAACCAGGAACATGGAACATTCCGGAACATCCCGGAACATCGAATAATTATCATAATTACGCGAAAAATATGTAAAATTAAATTTTAAAAAATCAAATCAAACAAAAATGAACTGGTATCAGCTCGGAAAATAGAAACAAAACAAAAACATAAAAAACGAAAAAGGAAAGAAAAATGAAAGTGACTGCAATGAGTGAAGGCTAGCAACTAAGAAGAGTAATCAATTCCTTCCAGTCGTTCACCGTCAGTTTAATTACGTGACTGTCCTTTATTCCCAGATTTCGTTCTTCACAGAAAGGTGGTGGCGTTCGAACTCCTTAATCAGACCTAAAAGTATGGGTACACGAGTGTGATTTCTTTATTCAATTCATTACGTCAATACAAAGGTATGACTATACACGATTTCTCATGAAAAAATAGTTTCTCCATGAGATAGAAATAGAAACTCTTCGGCATCGAGTTTCTTGTCTAAACTAGTTCGGACTGTTCGACCTCTGATGACAGTGTAAACAAATAATATATAGATTTAGGCCAGCCTAAAAGCGTAGCTCCTGGGCCGCGTTGTTCAGAGCCAAATAACCCAGGAGAAGGTAGAATCTTGATTTCAGTTTTGTACCTTTGCGGCGCGGTTTTCTGTATATTGTTTGGCCTTCTGTTTTGAGTTTTATTGATCACTGTATACACAAAACAAAGCAGCCAAAAAACATTTGAGTAGAAAAAAAAGTTATAATTCGGTTAACTTTTAATCCTTGGTTAGCGTCAACCGGCTTCCGAACAATCCTGCCCTATTTTCAACAAGTTAACCTGAGACGAGCCCGCGATCCAATCGAAAACCAGCACTTGGTCAGCGGTCAACTTAGAAAAACACGCGACCTCGATAAGCTGTAAACTTGAGCCCGCGATATGGTCACGTGATACTGGTCAGCGGATACCTTGTTTTGACAGGTGTCAATTGATCANTTTGTCCAGTACAAGTTAATACTTAATTAATTAAAAATACTTTTACCGCAGGCTAAAATCTATTCATTGCTAGTTTGACTTCAGGTGCAGATCGTTATCTGACATTCGATCAAACTTAGTTTTCTATTGAGCCATTCGAACACCACCAAAGTAAACCAGAGATGCGAAAACCGCGCGTGAACGCGCTGCTCTATAAATCTTTGATTACCACTAGTTTATTAATGATAACTTGCTTGTTACTTGGGCTTCAGGAAAGGCCGAGTCTGCACTTAGTGGGTCATAGTGCCAGGCATTCCTAGGGGAGCGGAGCGAAAACTGGGGATGATAAATAGCAAAATGAAGATGGAATAGGGACAAAACTATGAATACTGACTTAATAAGCAACTGTATGATGCACAGACAAACACCTGAGATGTTGAAGAAATCAGGGATCAAAAAAGGAGACGCAATGAATTACCTGGCATTCATCATCAGAATCGTCCATGTTTGTGTCGAAAAACAGAGTGCTGAAAAGTGACGTGACAATTGGCGGGAAAGAAGAGGAGCCTACACTCATTGTGGTCAGTTGAATGAATACCCAACGGTCCCTACCCCTCTGCTACCGACTCCCCTATCCCCAATAATTTCTTCTCATATTTCAAGCTGATACCAGTTTATTTTTGTTTATTTTAGTTTTAAAAATTTAATTTTACATATTTATGATAATTATGAAAATTATTCAATGTTGCGGGATGTTCCGGAATGTTCCATGTTGCGGGTTTTATCGATGGCCCTTTTTTTGGTGATCATTTGAAAGACAAAATATACCCAGTCTTGCTTGAGTGATTATATTTTATAGTTACAATTATTTTTACATGATATTTATGTTAGGACAAGGATATGTGCAAGGTACAGATGTATAATTTATGTTTAAAAAGACTTTAAAACTGGTAACCCTCAAAATTTATTAATTGTGTGACTTGGAGTTAAACATACCTCGGCCAAAGATTGAAAGTTATATAGGAGATGATGTGAGAAGCAACACACCCAAAAAGCAAAGAGGGAACAAAAATAGTTCACCTCAGTATAGGAAATTTTGAGGGGAAAGGAAATAAAATTAAAATAATAATCAAAGAGATGCTGCCAAATGATGATGATGATTACATTGGCCAATTTCAAACTGAAAGGCCAAAGGTGGCCCGAATAGCCATTAACATTGGGGAGGTCTTGTCTATAATGATTTTCTTTGGTGCAGTTTTGTCCTAATTCAGTTTGAAAAATTTGTTTGTTTGTTCGTCTCCTTGTTTGCTTCCTTCTTGATATTAATATTATTAGAGTTTATGAACTGGTACTGTTATGAGTTAATTTTCTTTTCTTTAAGTTGCAGTAAATAATGTAATGGATATAAGACGTGTGAACTGTAAAATATTGTATTGTAACTAGTTTTTGTGTGTGGCATTAAAAAAACAAAAGAAAAAACAGAAAAAAAATTATACAAACTGATTGATCAGATGTCAGTTTCATAATTTGGTCAAAGTATGGTCGAGTTAATGACATCATCATTAGTTTTGGCTAATTTGCAAATTTTAATCTTTCAAATGGAATGAAAATGTTTGCTTAATTTCATCACCTTGGTGTTCTGGGAACATGTGTCTGTGGGAAAGTAAGAACAAAGGGTACTTGTAGGTGTTTGGCTTGGTCATAATTTTAGTGCTATTTTCACCTAAAATGTGGCAAAATAATTATAAGCTTATTACTCTTGTACTTTTACACAATGCCTGTTGAAAGCCCCTGTACCTTGGGATCAGGTTTTTGGCCAGGATTTGAAAAGTGGGAGTCCAAAATGTGCCAAAAAGTCTGCTCAAATGAAAAATTTAAGGCAACATAGTTATTAAAAATTACACAATTGTCTTGTTTAAGTGGCTGTCCATGGGACACTTGGACACCCATCTGGCTAGAAGCCTGCTTGGGATGGTCAGTGTTCAGTTACATCCCTTGAGTAAGGTCTGGTTATTTCCTGTGACCACATAATGTAGAAATCTTTTTCTTTATTTAGCTGGCTTGTACCTGTTTGCAAAACATGCAGCTCAGTTCAAGGATTATATTGCTAAAGATCATGAGGTCAGTAAGAAAACAAACAAAATTTTTAAGTCAAGGTTTTTGCTCTTAGTAGTGAAAAACCTTCTTTATTAGTGTATTTTTTTTAAAGTGCTAAAGGATTGAAGCTTTGGTGGCTTTGTTGTTGTTTACTTGCTTTGCTGTAGATATAACTAACCAGTATTGTTTTTTTGGGTGTCATGTGCCTTCATAAGGTGGTTGACAACAATTTACAATTCTTTCCATCATTTACACCTTCAATTGATGGATCCATACTTGTTACTCTTTAATTATCATATGATCCTACGTTAATGGCATCACACAAATGCCGAGTCATTTGTAAACAAGTTGTGGTCTTTCTTTTTATACAGCAGGTTTAAAAACACCCTGAAGCCTTAGCTGTAAGGCTTGAAAACAAGCTCGGTGACCCCCATTTTTTATCATTGAATTGTGATAAGCATGATAAGATGCAACTGTGTGCAAAGTTTAATTTTCAGAAATTTAAGGTGGCTCTAAACGAGAGTGTTTGTAAACTTTGCAGAAGGTTCCAGGTACTCCAGGCCTAGGTTACACCAAAAACTGTATTATATGTATATATGCCTATGCCACTTACTTGTATCTGGAGCCATGACTGGATGGCTGGATTTCTGGCTGTTTTTTAAAACCAGAAAATGTAAACTTATTGAATTAGAGTTCCCCGGAGTCTTGTCCCATGAAGCAAAGGATTAAATGCTCTGGTGTTGAGAGTGATATTTTAGATTTTAATTTTTTTTGGTCCAGGTGATATATGAAGCATTTTATCGTTGGTGTAAGCATCAAAACAAGGAATTAAGCTATGCTGGATATGTAGCCATGGAGGCATTTCTGAAGCAGGTACCTATATTTGCAGGGATTATGTTTTGCTTATTTGTACTTGGTTGCTGTGTTTTTCTTGACCAGCTGTTGTTTATTGATCAATAAGTTGTTATTTTTAATTGCAAAATTGTTCAACAGACTTCCTATCGAAAAGAAGATCAATAAGTTAACTGAAAATGATGCATGTTTGTTCCCTCGTGCAGACATTCTAACAGGAAGTAAATTTGAGTATGTGTAACACTTGTATAGGGCTAGTATTTCTTGCAGTGAATTAATGAATTCTGCCTATAGTGTCAATGTCGCATTTGATGCTTTCATTACACTCTAACCATGCAGCAAAGGGAGTAAATACCATATTTATTTGAATAATAGCTGCTCCTTGATTAATCACCCTCCCCCAAAGAACTGCCCCCTTTAATTTGGTGGGATTATTTTAAATAATTCCCTTCCTTTAATAATTGGTCCCACCCCATAACTCCCCTGTTGGTTTGGTCTAAGAAAAATTACAAGGAGCCCAACGGTTCCTAGCCATGAAATCCTGTATGCCCAGCACTTAGGCTTATATGAACAAAGTAAGTTTTTCCAGTCACTCCAAGGTGAAAGGTAGTCTCTTGTGGCACCCTGGCACTTCTAGAGCACAGCCCTATCCCCTTGAATAATTGCCCTTGCCATTGTCCTTTAATTATGAGCCTTCCCTCCCTATTATCTCTACTTCCTCCTACCTTAAATATCCATTTGGGTAGGATACAAGCTTTCATTTAATCATTAAATTCAACAGATAGTTTACAAAAGCACAGGTTTTTTTTATCGTAAAATATTCATGGTATGGTACCTTTTCCTTTTGGGTTTCTGTTTATGGTAATAAACAACATATACACTGTAGTCCATTGAACAACTAATGACACTAAATGAAGCTACTTGTGGATCCACTTTAAGTCAGGCATCCTGCTTCAGTCTAGGTGGCTTTTCTGACACATGAATTATCCATTTTTTTTAGATGTCAGAATACTTTGTTTCGAGGTGTGGGGACAAATCAGATGTGGCAATGTTCAAGGTAAGATATTGTTTGTGCTGCATCGAAAGAAAAATGATGTTATAAAAAGTTCTAAAAATAGGACATTGGTTTATTTGCCACAGGCTGCATCGCAGGCATTAAACAGGGAAAGAGGGGGACTGGGAGAAAGAAAGAAGGCTTGCTAGAAGAACCCCCTTTTGTTCATTTCTGCATTTGCAGGCAAACGCAAAATTCCCATTTGCTAATACTCACTGAGTAACTTATTAATTGTCAGTTGCACAACCTCATCAGAAACAACCAACAATAGTCCCTGATGACGATGTATTAGCAAGTGCTTTGAGAGATTAAATCTCACTAGTGTGAGCAAATTTAAGAAAGACGCAAGCAAGAATTGGTTGTGATAGTCCGGGAGCAGGAACTGAAAAATGGGAGTTTTGTTCAACCATCGCCACAGAAAGAGAAAGACCTCCGGATCAAAGCCAGGTAGTTCGTAAAGTTGAATTGTGGTATAGGTTTCGAGTTAAGGGGATGTTTTCTTGCCCAGCCCACGGCTCAGCATGGAAACGAGGCTACACACTTGAACGCAGTTTACATCGCTATTTCTCAGTGAAAATCAGCAAAATCAGCCACTTAAGCTAAATTCACTAAATATACATCTGCTTCAATTGTAAGTGGTTAAGTATGTCACGTGATTGGTGACGTGATTGGTGACGTGATTGTAAACGTGATCAGTAACAAATGTGCGACTATTAACAAACGTACGTTCGAAGGATAACAAGAAATTAACTTTCTTGTTATCGTCTTAGCAAAGCCTTTGGGAATAAAAACTGTTTACTGTATATCACTTTTTATCAGTCTAGATCTAGCAAGCAAACAAGGCTAGTCCCTTGGAGGCAGTAAACAACATTATGAATCACTTGTAAATGAAAAAGAAAGAAAATGTTGCCATTACTCATTTCTGATTTAAGATACTGCATTATTTGGATTTATGACTAGAATACTAATAATAACGACGAGAATTATTGTTCTCACTCAGAATCAGGGTCCTCGGAATCAGAATCAGAAACGAAGTGTAAGAGAACTCTGCGCGGATTTCTACACATGTCACTGCCGGCCATGGAATAACATGCCTCTGAACATGATAAGCCTGTGTTGTTACACGAGCAGTTGCTCTGACACCCTCTCTGACATGTGCAAGCCGTCAGTTCCAACAGGCTACTTGGGGCTGGCTTTTTTGTCATGTAAACCGGCTTCAGTGAGGAGTCTTCCCTCACCCATCCATTACTTTTGGGCTGCGGGAAATGCTAGATTGCAGTCAGAGCCTTTCTCCAAACAAACGTCTGATAGTTAACTCTTTTCAAGTGTTGCAGTAGGCTGTCAGATGTGGGTGGGAAAAGCTCGTTCTTCTACTTTCTGTTTTGACAAAACAGGAAATACCTCAACTCATCCACAGTGCGTGGTTTCATCCTTGAGCTCGGGTAGAGATCACAGATAAAAGCTTCACACTGGGTGTCGGTGGCATCACCCAGGTTTTGCTGGGAACCTAGAATACCTAGACGGTCTTGATGCTGTTCATTGCATAATAGCACTTGCTATCCCTTTTTCTTACCGATTCCGGTGAGGGCGCTGGTGGAGTCGTATCCAGTAATGGCGTGTAAGGTTGGAGGGGCGCGACACATTTTTTCGCCAACCTCTTGCGATACGTCGTGAACTGGAACATAATGGAGACGGTCTTTCACGCCAGTTTTGAACCAAAATTCGGTGCAGTTGATATCAGAAAAATGGGATACGCTGAGAGCGAGAGCATCCGTGTCTGGTGATTGTAAGACAATACAACACTCTGGATAGGTATCTGCAAAATACTTAGCATGCAGCAGTAACCTGTCAAACAACAATACACAAATTAATAAATTAATGATGATATAAAGTTGTTGCACTAATAAAAGGGTATTATGTTTTCAATTGGATTGAGATCGACGTCTCAGATTCAGCTTTATAGATGGGCTTGAGGAACTATTTATCTCACCTTGTGTCTGCCTCTTCGTGGTCTGATTCCAGAACGTCAACGTCTTGGCAGTGACCTCTTCTGACTATCACTGCCTGTCTGCCATTCTCAAATCCTCCAGCAATGACAAGATTCTTCTCAGGAGGGAGCTGCTGTCGTCCTAAGATACAAAACGACTCTGATAGAAAGTCACATAGATTTGTCTTGCTCTTCGGATTAGGAATATACTTCCCCCACTGAAGTGTTCAGGGAACCTCTGTGTGCACGTTCTCCTGCTTTTATCGTTGCATCCCAGTATTGGTCGAAGACAATGTGAACTTCTTTGTAGTTGGTGAGTGATGTGGTGATAGCTTTAAAGTATTTGGATGTGAGTTCACCAAAAGTACCACTCCCCACTGATTTCAGTACTTGAACGAAAGCCATGCCGTTGATGAGATGAATGGTGTTTCGTGGAAAAGGTTGGAGTTGTGGGCAAACATTAACTTTGCTTTCAATAAGAGCTGCCAGGGTACTCTTGGTTGTCTTCCTCAAGCTGCCATCTTGATAAGCCAAGGAGAACAGGACAGATGAAAGCTCATAACATAGAACTTCTTTGAGGTTAATCTGCCTCACGTTGACGGCGATCAAAAGGTGTCCAAACAGCTCTCTATCAGCACCAACTGTAACCAGCTTATCATTGACTACCTTTACCTGGATTTTCCTTGTTGTGCTTTCGAAAGTTTTCACCTTGAGCTTTGGAATTGGATCCCAAAAGCTTACTTGGTAAGTGTTCAACCGTTTCTCTATGAAGGTGTTCATCTGCTCGCTTCCTTTTTCAGTGCTTCTTATCAAACCATCAGTGCTGTCATTGAGTAAGACGACGCCCAGAGCGAAGTTGGCTAATGACTCAGATTCTTGCGTGAAAGGATTAGCCATCAGTTCAGTTGTAAAGCATGAAACAAGCTTCTGAACATCAGCCTCATCGTGCGCTACCCGTCTTGTGCCAGCCTCTGTGTATGTCTTCGTGGTCATGCTCTTGCATAAACATATTTTTAAGGGCTGTAGTAACTGACACACGCTTGTGACTGGCGAGGAACCAACGATCCAGTGCACCAGGATTCTGGGAAATACTAATTATCCCCGTGTTTTGACTTGGAGTCTGCATTTATGGTCTGTTCCAGTGCCATGTCTGTCCACACCTGGGCAAAGGGCTTACCAGAGCGACTAACTGCATGATACCCATTCACAAATTCTTGATAAACTTGAGGATGCTTGGTGGCCAACTGCCTCATATCCATTATGTATACAGGGAGCCAGCTTGCATAGTTTGGGCTATCCATTGCGAAGAAATGTGGGACCATAGCTGGCACACTCGACAGATGTAGTTCCCAATTTCTGGTTCTTTCAGCTTTGACAAATTGAAGAAGCAGCTTAACCATTTCCCCATACTCTGCCCAGAAAGCAAACATCTTTGACTTAGTTCTGGACTGGGCTGTAAAATCTTGAAAAAGCGATTGTAGCTCTGTAACTCTGTAGCTCTTCATTGTTGTTGCGCGTCTGCATTCTTCTGCTTATCACGGCATCTTCATCAACGAGATGCTCTTCCCCATCTCCAGCGTGGCTTGCGTACCATCTAATGAAAGCGTCCCACATCAAACGAAAAAGAGCCTCCATTGCTAGCTTGTGAGCTCGAATTCCTCTGTTGTAAGACTTCCCCTTCATTATCGCTGAGGCCGTCCCTGTTGCATATACACCAGACTCAATAAGGAAGTCTTCCAATCCAGAACTGCAAAACTTCTTTCCAAGCAGTGAGAGGAAATTGAGAGCTATGTGGAATCCCCCAAGCCGAAGGACAGTGCCTGAAAACTCCTCCGGAAACTTCATCTGAATTTGCTTTGCCTTTGTGTAGATAGCAAGGTCAAAGGTGATGACGGTGTCGACCTGTCCCAGGTTAGTACACATCTTCTGGGCGTGTTTCATAACTGTGTAAACTGTGCTGAATTCGGTGAATGAGCCTTTGATCATAGGACAGTATACAATTTTGCTCGCCAAAGGAAGTTCAGGGTAGAAGATCGAGTTGAATCCACCCCAGCTCGGAACTGGTTGCTCTTCCTGCGCTTCAATGCCCATCTTCAATAAACTTGCTGGCTTCATGCAAAGGAGAGTCCAAGTGTCGTCTGTGTTAGTTGCTTCAGAGAGAATGCCACCCTCACCCTTGAGCCATTCTTTGACAACGGCACCAGTATATTAAGTAACTAGGTCTTCCTCCATATGCTGAACATTCTTGCAACTCATAGACACTTCCACCTCTCTTCAGGCTGCAACGTCTCTCCAAATGATTTCCAGCTATGGTAGGTGGTGGTTCTGGACCAAAACTCTTTCTCCGGTAGACAACCATGGTTGTGGCATGGGTGGTATTTTTGCCATCCTCCTTTAACCCTTTGCGACCCAATGGCCGATATATCGGCCATAACAAGAAACAGCAAATTTAGGCTCAGCGGATTCTCCATTTTTAGTTCCCAGACCTCCCCAGGCTAGAAATATCATTCGCCATTTTGAATTTTCTGCTTTTTGTAGTTCCTGACGAATTTGGGTTGCTTTATTGGAATTTTTCGACTTTCTTTGACTGCCAATTTTCCCGGGAAACTTTAAAGGTGTCATAATCGTGGCAAGGCCAACAGGCGCTTTACCGTGGCAGAAATACTGGAGTATTTAGATGATAACTTCGATATTCCTGACGATGGAGTAAATTCTGACATCGAAGGACTCGATGAAGATGATTTTGACAAAGAAAATGATATGCTTCCTGAAGTCGCCGCCTCTGATGACAAGGATGATGAAGATGTAAACCTCACTGCTCTTGATATTGAGGAAAATGACGACAGAGGAAGAGGAAGACCAAGCAATGTAAGTCTACATGACTTTGAATGGAGTAGTGAGCGAAGTGAAGTTGAAATTCCTAGCTTTTCACAAGCTGTAGGGCCAACAAATGTTATGCCCAGAGAGTCCTCGGCAGTAGACTTTTTCCAACTCTNACCTCTTGTAAAGCTGTCTTCGGTAGTTGATTTAGAAAATTCATCAAATATTTTAGTTCTAATCAAATCGCAATCTATTTAGCTCTAAATAGACAGGAAAGGAAGTACAAACACGACCTGCAATCAGTTTGTAATGAAGACTTTTACTTTTGAGTTTACGAGCCTCTGAATATGCCGCTCATTTTCAATCGATTTTGGCTGATTTGGGGCATCAAAATGAAAAAATTGCGTAAAAAAATAATTTTTGATTTATCGAACTTAAAACAATATTTTTGTAACTAGTGCCCGTAGGGCTTCATTCTGGGCAAGTTTGAAGAAATTTGATTTTTTCGCTATTTCCAAGTCTAGTTGATATTTAGGTGAAGCTGCTCTTAAGAGTAAATGTCACTAAAAATCAAAGAAATTGTGGCCATGGTCAAAAAATACATTTTGGTCGTACTTCGCCAGTTTTGAAGGCCTAGGTAAGTAACTGAAGGAAAGTCAAGTTAGTTTATTGAAATACCCAACATGATGGCAGAAACCCACAAAAAATGAACCTCATACTGAAAGCTCTGATTTCTCTTTGCGATAATCCAAAATGTACACTTTTGAGCTTCTTGGTACACAGATGTTTAAATCGCTGTGAAATGTTCTCAACTTTAAATGTATACATTGACTCTTCCTTAGTCAAGATATAGTATATATTTCGGGTTGCCAGGACCCTAATTCTTAGCAACATTTTATATATTTCTGTATTAATTATGAAAAAAGGGTAATAAAGAGAGGATGTTGTTGTTAGTCTTTGAATCTTTTTATTTCTTGCATTTTCTGAGGGAACTGAACCCCCATTAATGAGTAGACACACTTTTCTAATTAAGACAGAACTCCAAAATTATGCAAATTTAGTGAGGAAAAAAGCTGACTGGTAGTGCTTTAGATCATCTGATATTCTAGCCAAAGACAGTTCAGTCAATAAATTTTAACTTTACAATTTCATTTTTGTGGGATCTCCTAAGATGCGTGAATGCTGATCAAAATTCAAGAAAATTGCAAGTTAGTCCCTTTGAAATTTGCAATGTAACACTACATGCCAAAATAGAGGAAATTTGTTTTTTGGCTGGAAATGGCAATATAGAAGCAGGTAAAAACTGTTAATGTTTGAGACATTTTAAAAAATTTAACTTAGACATCGCCTGTAATAGTGAAAAGACATACATGTACATGTACAGTCAAACCTGTATCAAGTGGACCCCATATTAAGTGGACACCCTCTGTTAAGTGAACGGCAGTGCAAGCCCCATTTTTTCTTTTCCCCCATTCACTGTAAAAAATATCTGTATTCAACGGACACCTATTAAGCGGATGTGGACACCTTAAACTTGACTTTTATGGTAATTTCTATTGTTGGAAACCTGTATGAAACGGACACTGCAAATCAGATCTAACTCTCCCTGTTTTGTGTCATGCATGATTGACTTGAATGATGCTACAAACCAAACAGGTGTAAATCCGTTGCTTCAAATATCGTCAATTACTAATTAAAAACATTTCTGTTGAGGTAGGAGATTTTGCTTTACGTATACAGGATCGACCAGTTAACCTGCTCAAAAAAAAAACATGAGTGAATTAAAAAGGCTCCATTAACAATACAAATCAGATGCTTTACGTCATCACTACCAATAACCTGGCAGAGGTTTTGTGGCTCCCATGAAAAGTAAAGAAACAACATATTTATTTCAGAAGAATCAAATTTTGTTGCTGGGCACATCCAGAGACACACTAGATAAATGATAGTGTGTTTGTTCCTCAATTGTGGCACAAACGAACATAGCACTTCCTCAATTTCTACTATTTTGCTCACATGGTATACATGTAATTAAACAATTATATCAAAAACATCAAAAAGTCCTTGAAATTTTCTGACATTTAAACAGAAGGTGTAACTTATGTTGGCAAGATGTGGGTGTTTCAAGAAACCAAAAAAATTCTCAGAAATGACAATCTGTGGTGAAGGTCAAGTAATTTTCCCTCCAGTTGCTCTGAGATTCCCTTGGCACTGAGATAATTCCTCCCTGAAGCAATTTAGATCTTCAGAAGCAAGGACATCCAGGACATCTAAAACACACTGTTCAGCTTTTCTCAAATAACAGTACAGTGTTTACTAGGGCTTTACGCTGCATTCCATGGTACTGGTATGCAGTGAGTATTTGACAGACTGGGCAGATGTGTCAAATCTGTAGAAGGAGATTTAGCTTTCTTCAGAACTCAACTTGCACATCGCTCTTTAAAATTATGTAAGATTCAACTATCAATTTGCTTTCCTTCAAAGCTTTGTGCAGTATGTGGAAGCTATACGCCTAGCTTTGCATTCAGCATCATTGATTGGGGTGGGAAAAGAGGCTTACAGGCTTTTACACCCTCTCTTATTCTCTCCCAGACTCTGTTCATCACCTCCCACTTTTTTGATCATTCTACTCACTGAGCCTGGAACTGTCTACAGTTTTAGAGTTTAACATGCAAGCTCTGTTGTAGCAAACACAAAGAAAAAAATGTATGGCTTCCATGTTCATAGGAACTTAGTATTTTTAAGTCTGGGGAAAGAAATAAACTCGGATTCCCTCAATATACAGGTTATCCATCGCTGAACATTTGAAGAACACTGATTTCTGTCTTCTCTTGCTTTCTTCAACTTTGACATCAGTTCTCTTCTGTGGTTTACAATTTGTTTTGGTAGGTGACTGCCGATATTCCAAAACCCATTTCTCTCAGCTTCTGTGGCCTTGACATCACTGTTCTCTGTTAGAATGTCGCAGAAACTGTGCAATAATTGGTCTTTACTTATTTTTGAAGGGTTGAGCCCCCGATGTGTTGAATTCTTTTAAAAATATCACTAAAGCTGAAATCCAACATTTTCATTCCCAGTGTTATTATTGGCCTGAGGTCTGTACCCTATCCAACACAAAGGAATGCTTTCACTTTCTTGTTGTCAGATATTATATACATGTATGGACCTGCAAAACACAGGAAGTATCCCCTAAAATAGAAAGATTTTTGAGTTTTCTGTTTTCTTTAGTACATTTTTAAATTTCAAACCTCCAAAAGATAAATAAATAAAAAGATTAACTGTTGGAACTGTTGGTAATAAGCTTGATTTGTACAATTTTTTGAAAGCTACAGAAATGGACGGGGTCCAGAGTGACCTTATTTTTTTTTAATGTTTGGCAAGCTTTGAACTCCCTCTACAGACATTTTAGAACTTTGCAAAAAGTTTTATTTCATTTTATTCTCAACTTTGGCAATGGATAAAGTTTTCTTCAATATCCCCAGCAGTGCGCTCAACAGTGGTTTTGGAAGTGAATGCAACATGCAATCCCAAAGGGTTAGCAAAGTTGACCTTTGTCCAGTTTACTTTTCATTAGCCATTATTTATTGTAGTATTATTACATGTACATAAATAGTGACGTTATTGATCTGTCAAAGTATAACTGCTGGAAAGTGCTGGAAACTGTTGCCAGCAACTTTAACTTTGTTTTGGTGGCTGGACTTTGGTAGTTGCACAGTAACTAAAGTTAATAATTCTTTTGCTCCTGTAGTATTTTATCAAGACGTTCCGTGCGATTATTGATTCCGCATCCAGTGATACAAGACAGATGTCGATTGCAATAAGGGGTTATGGATACTTCTCCAAGGTATAATGACTTGTTTTAAGGATTAGATACTGTCAGTGATTCTGCCCTGTTTGGCTAGATCCTTGGGCATTTCTAATTAAAACAATCATGCCCCAGCTGTATTCCAAAGGGATTTCTTGCTCATGCAAGAAATTTCAATAATGTTGGGCCTTAATTTGTCAAGTGTAACAGCTCTCAGAATTATGATTGAAGTTCTCATTGGTGAATTTAAAAGAAATCAAAATTGTAATTCACAAATGATGTTTTCTGTGGTTTTTGATAGCCCTGCAAACTGTTCATGCAAGCCGCAGATGTGAAGTTCATGTTTAGTAAGATGATGCAGAGAAGTGAGCAGAAATATTTTGGGTAAGAATCATACAGAAATACCAATGTTGGTGATAGAACAACATACTTAGCTGCATGTTTAGCTTTCTCAAGATAACTATTTGACTTCTTTCCATTTGATGGTCTTTAGTCTTCCTCTACATGGTTGTACAGTTGTGACAATTCTAAACTTTAGTCCAGTTGTCCAGAGTTTGAAACCAGTGCCTTTGTATGTATGTTCCCCTTGGTTGTTTTCTCTAGTGTAAGTTTTTTTTTCTGAAATAGTATTTCATATTGTGAATGGCAAAGCAATTGAGGAAGATAAACAAGATGTTTGGTGTAACTCACTGGTGCTGTTTTAAAGACCTCAAATCATATCTCATCACATTGTCTGTAAATTAAAAGATCATAATTACATGTATATTTGAACTGCACAGAAAGATGTCATGGTTTTGAATCACATTTAACCCAAATGTTTGCCTGGCTTATTTTCACAACTGTGTAAGCTGTTTAAAGTACTGTGGCCATCTTTCATGTCTTTAAAAAATTCGTTTTCTCTCCTGAAGATGAAAGCCAGTCACCTCAGGCTGGCAACTGCAGCACTGCTAGTGTGTACATAACCTTGCATGGGTGGCTGACAACAAATATGTTTAGCCCTGGAAGATCTATGGATAGAGCAAGGGAACGGGAACGGAACGGGTACAGAACGGATACCGAACGGATACAGAACGCATACAGAACGGGAATGGATACGGAACAGATACGGAACGGTAACGGATCAAAAAAATGAAAAAAAAAAAACGTTCTCTAGAACGCAAACTGGAGAACGCGTTCTATAGAACGCATACTAGTTCGGCTATGAGAGTGCTTACTAGTGATATGCAAACGAGGTATCTTGCAAGTTCGTCCACTTTTTGTCCGGCCAGAGAAAATGACAGAACGAACAGTGAAACTGGGTAAGTAAATTATCTTGCTCCTTTGTTTAGTTCTTTTTATTTTTGCTAATTGAAAAAAGAACTCTACTGATTGCTGCAATAACATTTTTTTAAATCACCGTTAGCTCAAAAACCTCCCAAGTACGCTGGGGTCTGGTTCAAAGATGAAAACAAGATGGCCATCGTGGAGACCAAACTAATTTTGCACCCTTCACCAGTTGAAGATACAAACATTGTCGTTCAGTTTAACAACCAGGAAGTGAACGGTACAGTCGTCTGTTTAGAAGGTAAGTTAATAAATGTAACCCGAGTGTGATAAGCTTAAGTTCTGAAGCTCGTGCGGATTTGAGTTTAACACTTCGTAGCTTACCGAGAAATAACATATTAAGCTTAGCTCTTAAAGGTTTTCCTTTCAATCTCTTCAATGGCTTTTCGTATAAACCGCTTCTCTAGACCAGGCGACCCGGTTTTAATCACAGAGGCCAACAACACTCTGTAGGAAACAAAGATTTGGTTGAACTGTCAAACTCACGAAAGCTAAATGCAAAAAAGCTAAATTTACCGGTCTCATTCACATTTCAAATGTTTGACTTGAAAAAGCTTACCTTTCTGATTGTTTCATCACTGAGTGAACTTCTTTGTTTCGCCGNCCCTTCTGTTGGCGTTAAAAAGTGGTTTGAAGCACTAACTGGGAAATTCCTACCATCTGTTGTCTCGTATATTTCTCACTTCATCTGTTCACATAATTTGAGTTAACTTCAGGCCGCTTCGCGGCCCTTGTATAATTGTCATTTGGAACAAAATTTGCACAGTAATAAACTTTGGAATACACAATGTATCTGGTGCAAGTGCTTGAAGCAGTTGGTGACTTGTGTTGGTGTAGGCTTAGTTTAAAAAGCCTACCTACTAGGGAGAGCATGAATGACAATTATCTGCCTAGACTGTAAGAACTTCTCCCTGTCAAATGGGCAATTTGTGGTGGAGTGAGATAACAACAAACAGATTGAATACCTTAAGGCACTAAAATTGTCCTGTGGAGTGCCCATGAACAGTGTTTGCCATTGAGGGCCTCTTTACACAACCCAGGTTGATTTTTAGCCCCGGTTGAGTCATGACGGAGATTGCTTAAAATAAACACTTACAACACGAATATGTAACACAAACCACGGTTGTTAGTCTCCAATAGCATGTGGTTTGCTTCAAACTTTACCCAGGCATGGGAGGCTGACTAAGTTTGACAACTGCTTTCATGTAAATGCCATTTGGAAGCAAAAAGGTTACCTGTCATGATGATGAAAAAGTAACCCGAGGTTGTGTAAAGAGGCCCTTGCTAAGTCCAGCTATCTGGCAATGTTTTCTTGAGCAAGTTTTTGAAGGGGAGGAACATACTTTTAATCCCAAACAATGAGCAATGGCAGGGTCAACTTTTGGCCATTGTGCTCCTTGCCAACTAAAACTTGCTGTGCAATATTTGGCAGCATACCAGTGAAAGCGTAGAGTGAATTATTATAAAATATCATTTGCAATAATATTACTGTAATTTCCTAATTTATTATATATAAACACCAGTGAAATACCAGCTAGGTGAGCTTTTGGGTGAAAACATGATATTTTCACATGTGAAAATAATATGTTATTATGTTATTTTCACATGTGAAAATATCACCATTGCTATGGTTACATAATAAATCCCCAAAACTGTACTTAAATGTGTGGCTGTATGATCGAAAAATCATCGGATCTTCCTCGGAAATCTTCGGAAAATGTGCGGAAATGTTTGTGTGGCCTTCAGACAACTTTTGGAGAATCTGGAAATCTTCGGAAAGTGTTTGGAAATCTTCGGAAAATCGTCAAAAGATTGTCATTAGTATATTCATATAATAAACAAAGTAATACATGGCTTCTTGTAGATATGCAATTTCTCCTTGTGTTCAACTTTATATCTCACTTGTTCACCGCGCTCGCTTGTGAGATATTGGGTTGAACACTCGAAGAGAAATTCCATATCTATGCGCGCCCATGTATTATTCTCTGTAGATGCCACCGCTTTAGTATTGAACTCCGTCAGAAAATCATGGATAATCAATATGTTCAATCTTACCGCAGATGTACAAATATCTCAATCCTGTCATTCAAAACAACATGCACTCTTCAAACTAAAAATTGACCCAAGGAAACCATCTTTTTTATCACTGGATATTTGCTCCTCTGAGTCTTGTTTTGTGGACATAGCCATGGATTTGTTTTCTCTTTTCCCACTGTGTTGGAGAGGGCTTACCATTAGGGCAGTGAGATCGCAATGACCCAGTTTGGAAATTTAAAACATTTGGTGCCCTTAAATCTGCAATTTTCCCATGTATTCCTCTGGTTGGCTGATCTGGTTTTCTGTCTCCTGTGTGACCTCTACCTTGCTTTTGAACCAGGATGTGAGTCCTGTCCAGACTCTTACAAGGCGAGATTCTTGCAAAGCCCAGATTCTTACAAAGCGGGAGTACAAAATAAACCACTGGCAGTTTCTGATTAGAAATAGAAAGAAAAAAAATACACTACTGGCAGTGTCGGATTACAACTACAAAGAAAACATACTGCACTGACAGTTTCTGATTACAAATACAACAGAAAAAAAATGTGCACAGTCTAGTCCTAGCTAAAATTTTCCTAAATATACTTATTAAACCCAACTTTTAGGTTATACATGATGAATACAGGGTGTAACGTGCCCTTTGAAAAATATTGTGGTACTTTTTAGGAAAAGTATGTCTATATATATTAATGTTTTAGTAAGAATTGCTTCCTTATTATCTAGACAAGATGAACTGGTAGAGGACAAAGTTCAGCATCTTCCAAGCTTCTTAGAAGCCCTGTCTTGCATTGTTGAGGAGATGGATGAGGTTTGTAGAAGGAGCTAAATATATATTCTTTGACATAGTTTTCTTCTCTTGGATTTTGTTATTTGGATTCAATGCTTTTTCTTTGACTAGTTTAAACCTAAAATTTCATTTCCATTGCACGTAATGTATAATGTTTTCAAACTTCCTATTAGTAAACATTTGAAATAAGCACTCACATGCTTTCCCAGGGTCGAGTTGTTCTAAGGCTGGTTAACATTAACCCAGGATTAAAAGTTAACCAAAGTATTGATTTATTTGTTCAATGGGTTCTATAGTATATTTATTGTGTTTTTTATTTGGAAAAAATATACCTCTTAGTTGACAAATGTATGTTATGAGTGGATGAGTGAGAGATGTATGTATATCACACCAATCAGATTGGGGCTACTATAAACAAGCAATCAAATTGTGGCTTTTAACAATGAATCATGTTTGTGAAGATTTCATCCTGATTTTAGAATGGCCATCTTTGCTTTTCTACAAACAGCTTTTCTAGAAACAGGTATTCTTGTATTGGCCTTATTCTGACATTTTCGATGCTATTTTTACTCCCGGGGGAGGGGGGGGGGAGGGGCACTCTCACATAAAAAGAGACAGGGTGCTCATCGTACCTTTTAGGGATTAAACTAAACGTTCAAAGAGTGTTTACTCAGGCTTCGTAATGTACTTTACAAGTAGGCTTATTGAAGACAGTGAAATCAAATAAAAGAATCAGGTTATTTTAACACAAGAGTTAAGCTTAGATATTTACTAGTCAAGTTGCTTCATTGAGTATCCTCTTTATCCAATTTCTTGTTGTTTGCCTCATCTTCCAAGTTCTGTTTACGACAATTGATTTTTCAACATTTAAGATGTTCATCTCAGCATCATAGTTTGTTTTTGAGTCAGTAGTCATGGGTTTTATCATTGTTTTCATAGTTTGAACTTGTACATGGCTCATTTGTTATCTTATGAGAACCAGCCAGAACTTTGCCTCTTTGACAGGCTTTCAAGCAATGTAAGTCGTGGAGGAATTCAACTCATTTGAATTGGTTTTCTATGTCAAAACCAAAGAAATTATGAATGGCTAGTAATGAATGATAACACTGCTGAGTTGTGAAATTTGTTTTTGTTTTAGGTAAATGTAACAAGATATTTTTATTTGTCAGTTTCAAATGGTAACTTGACACTTTTGTTTTCCACACACAAGTGGTTGCAATTAAACTGACAAATCAGTGACTCTTGTTCACATGGTCAGAATAAACAAACAAGAAGCCAATCTAGAGGCATGTCCAGAAACTTTAACTTGATATAAATGTTTGGATGTCTTTTCTTAGTATCTTCAGTGGCATTTTAATGTCTTGCATTAATGCCAATTCTTAAAAACGGGAATTTTTAGCAGAGATTTTCTTAAAGGTTTGTGGTATCGAAACTCTTCAAATATTCATGAAGACTTCATGGCGGCAAGCTAAACCCTAAATTAATTAGACTAGAGACTCATTAGACTTTGAGGCAGCACAGTGGTTCTTTTGTTTTGAAACAGATTCCTTGCACAGTTCAAAGAGGTAAACTTATGTTTCTCATAGAGTGGCAAAACGTTTTTCTGTAACAGATGTTTTGTCAACAAAAAGGGTCTCAGGGATTGGAAAGGGTAATCTGACAAGGAAACTTCCTAAACTCTGCAGATTTCATGGCATCTTTTAAAATTTAATATATACGGTTTTTCATGTGTCTGGGTGTTTCAAGTCACAAGTTAGGTAATTGTGTTTACCTTCAATAATGTCTTCTCTTTTTAATGGATTTTGAAACTGATGTTAATTTGAATTGGTTTTGTGGTTACAAAAGACAGAATTGACGTTATTTCATTAGGGTAGTTGAAGTTCTCTTTAATTATGCAGAGTTTGAAAGGTTCTTCATAATTTGGGATTTTGGTATGCAAATAGTGTTTAAATAGTCTGTAACAGCAGTTATAATTATCTAATTTGTTGTTAAAGGTTACCATATACCTTCTCTGACAGATTGTCAATTTTCTTCCAATGTGGATTTTTGGGTCAAAGTAATGGTCGAAGAGTAATCTCTAATTTCTGAAGGAAAATTTTGAAAAACGCGAAATATTGGTGGAGAAATGGAAGTTTTACATTATTGCTGGAAGCAAAAGTTTCCCTTTTGATTGACAGCCCTATAATGTACATGCAAACAACCAAAAAGACTTCTGCGAGAATATTACCTATACAGATGTCACAAATTGGCTACTCAGTTGATCAGCATTGTTGTTCTGACTATGAAGTATTTTTCGTATTAGGTGTAGTTCTATTAAGTTATAAGTAAACATGGACCACTGAAAACTCTGTGGACCTGTTGGAAAAAATGAAAACAGTGAAGATTACAAATGAAAATACATCATTGAGTGAAGAAATGAAAGTTGGCCTCGCAGATGAAGCTATAGCTATTGTATCAAGCGGGCAAAAAAAGTCAAGTAAAGAGAAGAGAGAGGTTCTGTAAAAATTTGGTAACTTGACAGTGATAACAGTGATGTTGAAAGAGACTCCTTGATGAGTCAGATACCGAGGAACTGTCGGACTTGTTGAGACCCATTGGAATATTATCCATGCACAGTTACTCCTCTGCACATTCCTTTGTTTTCTTCATCCCGCTACTCTAGCATTCGTATCCTTTTTTGTCTTCCCCATTTTCCCAGACCAGCTTCAAGATAAACTGAACACAAGGGTTTTTTTTTGAGATTTGTGCGTAAATTTCCCCAGAGATTAAAGATGATTTCCAGTCCGTACTGTGCACTCTTGAGAGTTTGTTTTGTTTCATGTAAGACAACACTAAATGTGAACATTTTGCAACTACATACATGAAGTAAATGCATAGTTTCATGTCAACCTCCTTTATGGATGGGAAGCTTTATGTTTCGTTCTTTCTCAAATCACTTGATCAAACAACTTCACAGCTGTAAAAATCAATGAGGCTGCTGGAAAAGGAATTTGAAAGGCCTCAAAGATAAGTTATGTGGTTCGTAACTTATAACATTGATTCACATTCCATTGAGTGAGACATTTTATGTTTATAAGCATTAGGGTGCTGAGACTGCCCAGTACAGACTGGAAATCATCTTTAATGGTAAGAAATTTTCCAAGCGCTGATTGGCTCAGTTATCTGCGAACCCAGTTGAAGGTGTTTGTGGGCAGAGTTTGTTTACAAAGCAAGAGATTTTTTTAGTGCTGTTTTCTCCAATCAATTTTTTCACTTGAAGCAGACATTTTAAAGAGTTACATACATCTCAAAAGGAATTTTTTCGATTGCCCTCAAATTTGGACAGTAGCTAGTTTAACTTATAAACAACAAAAATTGTCCATGAATTGTTTTATTTCAAAATATTTTTTCTCTGAACACGATTTTTGTGTAATCACTTCACATGTTTTTAAATCCTATTTTGAATATGTTTTGTAACTTTTTACTACAATTGAATAATTATGGTAAAACTAAGAAATGTCTTTTTTCGCTTTGAGTTCTGAAACCGAGGAAAAAATAAATTGGCGAAAAATAAAATTGGCTTTCACATGTAGCTATCGAAAGGTGATTTGGGTACTCGCATTTAGTGGTCCTGAAAAATTTGGCTATTCATTTTGTTTCCAAATTTTGTTGTAGTTTGATAGCCAGCTCTATAAGCTTTAATTTGATATTGGGGTTTAGGTGTTTACAGCTTAAACCGGACATACTACATCGCTTGGACCCAAGACACCCCTGAAGGTATACAGTAACCCTAACAATGGTTTTTAAAACCCTAATTTGACCAGCCCAACTAGTGTGTCTTACTATACTGAAGAACTAAAGAACGGTTAATGATCCCAACAGAACGCAGGAGTTTTCCACCAACTTTAAATACAAGTAGTCTAAGTAGACTAGAATGTCTGGGTTAAATTTGATTTACAGATTTCTGACTCCATCCTCGCTTCCCTGGAGAGACTGGTTGTGGTTTTATTTAACAACCTCACAAGATTGACAAAGGAATCCAGATTTATCTGTGGCAAGTCCCTTGTGAGGATGCTTTATAACCTCTCTTCCAAGGGTGCAGTACTAAGGCGTTTTCTTTCAGAAGTAGGTATGTACTGATCTAATACTCCAAGGTAGTAGCGGATAGGATTAAGTATGCATCAGTTGGCATGATGAGGTCATTGTTCATCATGTTTTAAAAAAGAAATGAGTACTAATATTGCTTTTTCTCACTGTGAGGCTTTGTTAATGTTTTAGCCCCCCAGGTGATGAGGTTGACTGTTTATGTATCAATGTACACGTAGTGTGTTGTTTACTGTCATTACTGCATATTGCTCCTGATAATTTTTTTTAATAACAACACATTTATTTAATCACATAACAAGACTTTTAACAAAGTTAAATTTAAATACACGACCCCACAAGCTTTTAGCTTTAATTATTATCGTGTTTAAATAAAGTTTATCTATCTATCTATCCATCTATGACTAAAATTTGTGTTACTTAGAACAGTTACTTTTTACCTTAGATAGCTGTGTTACTCACATTACCTACTACTATAGCAAACTAGTTCTGCCACTAAAAATCTGCTTAGTTCAAAAGCTGTTACATCTGTTAAGAAAAAAATGATTTAGTTATATTTAAAATTACTGGCTCGAGGGAGCAAAGGAAAAAAGGCTACATATTACTCCCTTGAGGTAAAACATTACACCATAATAATGTTAAAGTGATATGTCAGGCTGTCTTGCTTCCTAGCTGATATTCTATTTTCAATACATTTGTCAGTTTGTATAATTAGAAATGAAGTTAGCAAAAGAGTTGATAATATTTACTGCCCTTACCATTTTTATTCATTTTATAAAAATAACGTTTTCTTAATTCATACCAATTTTTATGTATGTAACTTTTCTTCTATGATTCTTATTGCATGTCTTTTTTGTCATGTAAAAAGTACTTCTCACAGTCATCTTATTCTTTTGTGTCCTCTGTTAGTATTAAATTGGCATAGAAATAAAGTTATTATTATTAATCAACTCCTAATAAATTATAGTGTTGTAAATGTTAAGCTCAGGGAGAAAAGAGGTGACTGATACTTTCTTGATAAATTTCATGAAAAATAAGAACAAAATAATAGGGGAATAGATGATACTCAAATGTAACAAGTTCTTATTTAATATATAATCGTTTAATCATCTACAGTGTACTCAACACAATAACTTTTAAAGAAATTCACCAATAAACATTTCACCAAACTGAATGAACTGAAGAACAACAATAAAAAAACGAAAACAAAAAACTGAGGAATCTACACAATGTGCATATCACTACATCTGAATATCAAATAGCAAGTCCTGTCTCAACAAAGCATGGCCAAATGAAAGAAATGTCAAAGAAAATTCATTTAGAATTGATTATGATTCAGGGTAGAGTCAAGAAATGCATTTCAACCTCCCAAAACGAGGAGTAGTAACCCACACAGATGAGGTAGTGACGACTCCTGTAACTGAACAGGTAAATTCCAACTTTGGCCTGAGGTCTATCTGGGACTTCTAGTGGGATAAGCGTCTCTTTAGGCTGGACTCTTGTCACAGGCTCTGCCAACATCACACGTCTCAATGAACTGCTGGATCTCACTACTCATTCTCGGCCAGTAGATGCATTCTCTTGCTCGCAAAAGGCTGCTGACGACATCGGAATGCGCATAATGAAGGTGACACATCAGGTCTTTGAAGCAGCTATTTTGGAACCACTTATCTCTCTCCTGACAGCCACATCATCGTCAACACTCAGCTTGTCACGTATTCTAAAGTGCGGTAATACGAGATGAGGAAGTTCCCCCTTTCTCTCGGGCCAGCCTGCCTTGATAACCTTGATTAGCTCTTGAAGGCTGTCGTCCTTTGATGTGTGCTGTTTGATTTCCTGGAGAGTAGATGGTTTTAGGCACGCATCCTGCTTCATGTTGATGCTCTTGACTTCTGGAGCAATTGTTTGACTTCCATTTTAGGGAAGATATGCCAGGCTCAGGGCATCAGCCAGGTACATGGTGGACCCCTTCCTATAGCCAAGGTTGATAGAGTAGGCTTGAACTCTCAGGAGCATGTGCTGGAGTCTCTTTGGTGTTCAGTGGAGTGGTTTCTTAACAATCACTTCTAATGGTTTGTGATCCAATTCCACAGTTCCTTGTCTCCCTTACATGTAGCTGTGGCATAGCCAGTGTCAGGATCCATCAGCAGGAGGCTTGAGTACATGATGAAGAGGCCATCTTGCGACATGACTTGTCCAAGTTCCTTGTCTGACACGGCACATTGCAGGGTGACGCCCTTTGTTGAATCAAAATATTTTAGAACTGGCACATTGGTAACCAGCTGTTTCACTTGTTGGACTGCACCATCATGAAGGTTGGTCCAGAACCATCCTATGTCAGGGAGCATGAGTTTCTGGAGGGTCTCACATGCATCGCTGAGACAGGGTAGAAACTTGCTCAGGTAATTTGTGAATCTAATCGACCTGTGTACACTGGCCACATCAGTTGGGGTTGGCATCTTTAAGACAGCCTTGATCTTTGCTGGATCTGTTTTAAGACCGTTGTTAACTTCTTCACCCTGCAGTTTCACTTTGTCCTTGTTCAGCTTGATATTCTGCTCATGGCACCTCTGCATTAGTTAGCACAGATGTTCTGTGGAGCATTCACTGAAAATCAGGAAGTCATCCTGAATGGTGCGGATGCCCCTTGAGCTCTGTAGGGCATGGTTCAATCTCGGCTGAAACTCCTCTGGAGGTGTGCAAAGTCCAAAGGGAAGGCAATGCCAACAAAGTCATCCAATGGGTGAATTGAAAGTTGTAAGGCATGAGCTGTCATTGTCATGTTCAACATGCCAGCACCCATTTTTGGTGTCTACAGTTGAGAAAACGTTTGCCCTTGAAAGGTCTGGAAATACCCCGTCTATGGTCGGGGTTAGTTAGTTGCTTCTCCTTAACACTTGTTTCAGGTCTTTGGGTCAATGCCCACTTGAATTTGTCCATTAGGTTTCTGTACAGTTACAAGACTTGAAACCCATGGGGTAGACGTGGTGACTTTCTCTATGATACCAAGGCTCTGAAGACAATCCAGTTCTTCTTTCAGTTTACCCTTGAGCACTAAAGGAACTCTCCTTGGCAGATGAACCACTGGCGTAGCACCCTCTTCCACTTCAAGCTTGTGCTGACTCTCCAACTTTCCAGTACCCTCCAAGGTATCAGAATAATCCTTTGGGAGTTTTTCAGCAGTGAGGCAAACTTGACTGGTGTTGACTGACAGCACATTGTGATGTTGCACTCTAAACACGTCCATCTGCCGCATGTTTTGGTTTCCCAGGATTGGTACAGCCCTGTCACTGTTGACAACTACAAACTCCACATGAGTACCTCCCCAGCTGAAACTTCACTGTTGAATTTCCAAGGCTTATAGTAGCAAACAGCTTTCCCGCATACTCATGATCACTTGCAGCATGGATGCTGAGTATTTCACTTTCATCCATTGACTCGAGTGTGAGGCAGTATTCCTCATCTCCTTCACTCTCTGTCTCAACCATGTTTATGTTTGCCTTAGCCATACCCTGAGATGGGAAATGATTCGTAATTTGACAGGCCAAGCGTCTCTTGCCAACCACAGGACAATTTTGCTTGCCGATTCAGTGTTTTCCACTGCAATATTTGCATGTCTCTGTTTCTTTCACCTGGCCCTCCAGGCTGGGGGTTGAGAATGGGATTAGCTACCCCTTCTCATAAAAACCTCCCAGTTACAGAAACAACAGCAAGTAACACTATTGCCATGGACCCTCCAGTTGACTCAAAGCAACCCACCGGCAGTATGCCTGCTTCTGATGAAAGCCTACCACAGGAAGTCAAGGAGTGGGAAAGAGAGTCTACTTGGGCCCAAAACTAAGATCCGCATGGGAGCATGGAATGTCCGCACTATGTACAAGACATCAAAGACAGCCCAGGTTATAACAGAGATGAAGAGATACAGGATATACATTCTGGGTATCAGTGAATGCCGCTTTACAGGGACTGGATGCTGAGTGACCAACAATGGATCAGTAATCCTATATTCCAGACATACAGACACACATCCTTGGTGTAGCCGTAATAGTGGAGAAAGTAAGCACCTTGTTAGAATGGGAACCAATCAGTAAATCAGTCAAAGTACTGTAAACTCACAGTTATACAGTGCTATGCACCAACTATTGAAGGTGATGAGGAAGACAAAGATACCTGGTATGAGCAGCTACAACTTGCCGTATCCAAGGTGCCTCAATACAATATGTTCATGATCATTGGGGGCATGAATTGAAAGGTTGAAGCTGAACATGGTGAGCGCCTTGTTGACTTTTGTTTAAACAACAACTGTGTAATTAGCGGTGCAATCTTCCAAGACAAAAGCATTCATAAGCTCACATGGAGGTCCCCTGATGGTACAACATTCAACCAGATTGACCACTTCATTGTCAACAACAAGTGGTGCGGATCCCTCCAAGACATCAGCACTTACCGGGGCGCTGATGCAAATAGTGGTCACTACTTAGTTATGGCAACTATGAAACTGAGGCGTCGGAGAGCTATACCACAGGGTCAATACAGGAAACAGCTAAACTTCGCCAAACTTAAGTGTACAACACCAGCAAAGAGTTTTTCCTGGACCTGAGGAATTGTTTTAAGATGCTTTCTACTGCAACTAAGGAAGAAGATTATGACGTCTACAGTAAATGGAATACCATCAAAGACATTTATTATGAAACTGCAAAGCATGTTGTGGGCTACAGACAGAACAAGATCAAAGAATGGTTAACACCTGGTACATGTCAGAAGATAAATGAAAGAAAACAGCTCAAGAACAAGTTGCTGAACACTAAGTCACTAAGGCTGCAAGATCAAATCCAGAAGGCTTATAAAAACAAGGATAAGGAAGTGAAGAGGAGTGCAAGGTCAGACAAGAGGTCCTATATAGAGGAGCTCGCTGTTGAAGCTGAACAAGTGGCTGTCAGGGGTGAGATGGGCATCTTGTTCATCGATTTCTGTGTAGCAAAGGTGAAAGAAACAACAAATATCTGCCAAGCAAACGTCAACAAAGAAAGGTTCTCTGACAAAACTGTGACCTTTGTATGTGAAATTTCTCGTTTTGAACGTTATGCAAATTTAAATGTCATGAACAGATACATGTAGCAGCAACCGTTCAAATGGCATTGGTGCTTCACAAGACAGATAAACATTACAACTGAATCTCGCCTTCTGTTGAAACGGCAACGCAACAACAAATACAAGGATGAGTTACAATCAAATCTGCAAAATTACAGTTATTTTTCACTCACACTTGACCGACACACTTCATTTCAACTGTGGTAAGTAAACTGAGAAATTGCAAGATGTAAGGGTTAAGCGAAATACGACTCCGCAGATGAGATCAGTTGCTGCAAAAATTGTTACTGCTCAACTCAAGGGTTGATACATCTTAACTGGCTTATCACAGTTTGTGGTTCATTGACTCGTTTTTAAAATTTACGTTTTTGTGGATAACTTGATCACATTTTAAGTTTTTAAAATCACTTTTTTGGGAAAATTTTGAATTTGGTGTAAATAATTAAGTTTGATTAAATAATAATTTTGGACAAAATAGGCCCTTGAAGGTCTACAGTAACCTGAAAAATAGTAAGACTGTTCTATGTAATATTGTGTATCAAGGTTGGTTTAATGCAAGTTAAAATTGTGCTGTCAGTATTTTTGGATGATTGTTTGAATTCTTTTCCTGGCAGTATACCAAGGTCTAATAAGAACCTGTTCACATCCAGTTGCTTTAGAAGAGGTATGTAAAGAGAGTAAATATCTTTTCAGGTAGCAAATAAACTGCCCTTGTTTTGGATGTTAAAGTGAATGCTTTGTGCAAAATTTGTGGGATATTGTTATCAGTCATGTGACATCTGTTGTTAAGACCCTGAGATGTTCTTGTATCACAGCTGCTAAGTTACAAGCGGTACAAGGAAGCACTCTGTGAGAGATAGGCATCCCGGTATGGGATTGGTGTGCTCTGAATTGTGCAACACCAGACAGGGGTTTAATTAATATTTTCAGCTGGAGGGCAACTGGTTTTCACAGGCAGAGCATTTTGGAATGAACTTTTGCATAGGAAAAGCTTTCCTCTAAATGGTCAAACAAGGCCAGCAAAATCGTCTTCACTTTCGGTCAATTAGCCCAGTGCCTGGCCCTTAATGAAACCCCTGACACTAGATCTATGGTTCTGGGAGAAGCATCAAACAAACTTTTATTTTCAAATGAACAGTGAATCAGACATCAACTGATGAGGGGACAACACCCAAGTCATTGGATGCCTGGTCAGATTCTTCCTTGAAACAGACACAGACTTGTGAATTAAAGCCTTTGAGCAGATCATTGAACAGACAATGAACTTTGCTCATGGACTTATATGTTGAAGGGAAAGTACTTGTTGGGTTGGAAGCTGGAGAACAATTTATTATTTACTTGCATTTGCATTTTAGACAGTTTCATCTTGTTAAAAAAGGAACCTTCACAGTATTGCTCTGACGAATAAACCATTTTCAAAATTATGTTTTGAATTTATATTGAATGTTAAATTCCTTTAGTTGACAACTTTGATTTTTAAGTATGATGTTTTTATTTACAGGATTTTATTTCCTGTCACAAGAATTCCACTCATAAAGGCAATTGTGCACAAAACAATGAGCTTAAAGAGGCTTAAAATGGAGGCTTCAAGTTCATAATCCCTTTTAATAATGTCTGTGTTTTCATGATAAGTAGTCAGCAGCTGTTTTGTAGACTCTCTTGGTACCTTTGATTAATGTGTAATTAATCTTAATGTTTTCAATACATTTCCTTAAAAAAAGTTAATTCCATTCCTTATTCTAAAAATAAAAATGGTTCTCATGCAGTAAGTTGTTGGGAAGAAAACTTCACTTTACTAATAGCCCAAGTTTTATACCTCAAAATTTCGACATGACTCTGAGGTTTTCTGGCCAAAGTTTCAACTTTTCTTAGATTCCTTTGGCTGTTATTTTCCATTATACACAAAGAAAACAAGACCTGATGTACATGTAGAAGGTTAGGAGGAAGCCTTGGTATCATGTTAGAATTTTGATATATTGAATGTGGGATATTACTGTGTTATGCATTGAAGGTAAATGAAATTGGTGCATCAGTGGACAAAGAGATCAGTGATACTTCAACTCCCAAGATATCTTACAAAGATTACTTGGAGCTGTGGGAATTTCTCTTGGAGAAGAGCAAGTTTAAGGTATGACATCTGCTTTTGATATGCAAATTTTTGTTTCAGGTTTTGTGGTAAATGCTAGAATTTATCATGATTATACAAAGTAACAGAGGCAAAATGCTAACGTCCTTATTGAGTTATTATTTTTTTTGTCATATTAACCTTGCAGACTGTACATAATTGAAAGGCCGTGTGCGAGAACGTCCCCTAGATTTTTTGGCCATTTTGAAAGTGCTCAAAAATAGCTGAATTTTGGCATGTAGGCTTCGTTTTACCTGAGAAACATTGCTCTGAAATTTTTTTGGCTGGGGTGCTCTTCGTTCTCATATGCAAAAAACTCAGTTTTCCAGGCGGCATCTTTTGGAGATCTTTTGTTGAACAAAAACCAAAAGAAACATTATTTTGTTGAACAGCAAACAGGCAGACTGTTTATAGTGTATTCCACTGAATCTTAGCTGTCTTAAAGTCAAAGGAAAATAGTATAT